AAACATTGGAACAGGCTGCCCAGGGAAGTGGTGGAGTCCCCATCCCTGGAGGTATTTAAAAGACGAGTAGATGAGGCACTTAGGGACATGGTTTAGTGGGTGGTGGTGTTGGGTTGACGGCTGGACTCGATGATCTTAGAGGTCTTTTCCAACCTCAATGATTCTATGATTCTGTTCCTGTTTGCACTTTGTCCATCAGATCCTTGAACCATATTTATTAAAAATCATTGTTTCTGAGTTGGCAAATGACTTCAAAGCCTATAGAGCCATTTTAGACATCAAAGAAAGCTTAGCTCTCCTTTTGTCTGCTCAGTTTTTCTAGCATAGCTATTAACTACTTATTTTATTATTCAATCAACCAGCTTTCATTAATATCAGACAATTTGAATTTGTCTGTAAACAAGAAATTCTCTTTGTACATTTATTTGTATTGTCCTGGTATCTACCTTTGTTCAGTAGGCACTTAAAGAATATTTTCTCCTCATGTTCTTTGTTGCCTTAATTACTTAATTACTTTCATTGACAACAGCATGATGTAATTCTAATGAGAGCCCATTTGTTCCTTCTTTTTACCATATCCTCTAGTCTCTGTTTAATGCTTTTCAGTCTATTCTAGAAAGCTTGCCCCTGTAACTCCTTCAAATGAGGTGGAAGCTCTCCAAAAATCTCTCTTGCCATAGAAAGTGGCCAATGTTTCCAGATATCTCTAAGTAATATTGCCTGCCAGGCTACTGGCTTCTTGCTGCATTCTTCTGCCTTTTGGCTTTCTTCACTCTAAAGACAGAAAGTCACCCCAGTGGGAGATCACTTTCATGTGCTTATTCTCCAGTACTCTTCTAAATTCCTTTGTGTAATCTGCGATCTCTGAGGTGTTACACAGGTATTTGATAAATGCAAATATGGATCCTTATTCTCTAAGATTACAAGTTAGTCCAATTCTAGTCATGTCTGATGTCTTCACTTAAAGAAGGCAACACATATTATCTGCCTCTCTGTGGCAGAGTATCATTTCTGCTGTCAGGAATCCACAGTGAGGTTTATTTGTTGTCTTTGGAGACACAGCTCCAGCGGGAACAGCAGTATTTGTACTGAACCCTGAAATAAAATGGAGAAATAGGCTTTTTATTAGCCTTTAGGACACATTTTTAATGTAGTAGAATAATTCTGCCATGGCTTATGATGAAATTTGCTGGGTGGATAATGATACAATTCTTACAGTAAAAAATTGTCGATCTATCAATCATTACTTTAGTGTTCTGTTGTCTTTAAACACCATTTTTCAATAGCAACTATCACTTGTGGGGTATGCCATCTTAGATTGTGTGTATGCTAGTGTTTTGATTTCTAACAGTAGCACAGTTCTGCAGTGCATCCCCTGTCTCTTCCATTTACTGTGTGTCAGTTCAGTTTGCAGGGTGGGTTTCATCTGTGTTCAAACTAGGCTTCAGAGGAAATTAATCCAGAAGCTCTACCCTAAGTATTCATTAAGCACTTTGAAACCTCTGGGAAGGATGTAAGGTCTAAACCAGTGACTGGTCTCCTGAACAGCTTCAGGCTACATTGTATAGTTGGAACACTGGATCAGGGGCCAGACGTGATCTAGTCCGGAATGGTATAGAATCTGTAGATGAAGAAGCCTCAGCACAAAGCACTTTGATCTGCGGAGCTGTTGCTTTTGCTCCAAATTGCTTTCTAATGTAGGCTTAACCTTAGAAACAGAGAAGAAGGTTTTAGCTTCTGTCACCATGCATTCATATTCAGCCCTTCAGTGGTATTTTAGCTTGAGTATATAATTTATTGAATAATTAAAAATATTGACAAAATACTTGTGCACACCTTTGCTATTGGGAGCTTCATTTAAGCAGTCCTTGTATCCTGGACAACACAGAAATAGCAGCAATTTCAGAATATACTAATAAAGACTAGAACCCTGGGAAATGGTTATATCAAGACAGGCTTCTCTGGGCAGAGTAAATATGTGATTTGAAGCAAAGATATTTGCTGTGAAGGTCAATTGGATTTAAAACTAATATTGTCTTTCATTTTTATCAGAAAAGTCTTCAGTCAGGGAAAATACGTAAGTGGTTTTATTTTTTTGTCCAATTGAACCGGCTCAAAGATTGTGCTGTTTTTGTATGTTTTGATCTGTATGATACTAGTTTCCCTATTTTGTAGCTTCATGAATACCATGGATGCTGCTATTCCTCAGCCCCAAGAACAGACTGAAAGATGTTAAATTATAAAGTATCTGACCTTGGTACTTTTTCTGTACATGAACAGAAGAGTTAAGACAGGGTTTAGAGGAAGAAGGAATCTAATACTTCTCTAACGTAGCAGAATGGCTGTGCAAAGAGGGATTTTAAGCAATCAAGGCCACGCAAGCTAATTTGCAACTGATAGTATAAATTATGTGCAGATTCTTTCAGATTGTTTGAATTAAGTCTAGGGATATTTTTAGAGCAACTTTGTTTGGTTTAATGAAAACTATTAATAAATCATTAGTCAATGAAAACAGTTACTTAATTTTGTGTGTATGTAAATGATCATATTCATATATCATCATTATTATCCTTTAAATAATATGCCTATTCAGGATTATATCTGTTGGTTAAAATGGTCAAGTTCGTCTTAGTAACTTCTCTGCTTTGCTTGCAGGTTGTATATAAAAATAACGATGTCAGGTTGGAGTTATCTCGACTTGCCAAGCAAGGAGATCCTAAAATGAAGATTCATGGGGTTGTAGCATTTAAATGTGAGAATGTTGCAACCTTAGATCCAATCACGTTTGAAACACCAGAGTCTTTCATCTCTTTGCCAAAGTGGAATGCCAAGAAAACAGGCTCAATATCATTTGACTTTCGTACAACTGAGCCAAACGGCCTGATTCTTTTCAGCCATGGAAAACCAAGGCACCAAAAAGATGCCAAACACCCACAGATGGTGAAGGTTGACTTTTTTGCCATTGAGATGCTTGATGGCCACCTCTACCTGCTGTTAGACATGGGATCAGGTACTATAAAAATAAAAGCCTTGCAGAAGAAGGTTAATGATGGTGAATGGTACCATGTGGATTTTCAACGGGATGGACGGTCAGGTAAGCTGCTTTTTTAATATTCAATATGGTTTTTCATGTTGTATCTGAGAGAATACTGGTATATATTATGTTGCCACCATTAGAGTTGTGCATCATCTGAAAAATAAGGGAAATATAAGGAGTCATTACTGTCGGGTACCAGAATACAATGATTTGCAAAGTAAAATATCTTATGTTAACATTTATTGGGTAATCAGGTACTTAATCTTGCAAGTAAGTGTGCTGTGTACTTCAAAAACAAACAGTAATCTCCCTCTGTGCTTGCTTATACCAAATAGCTGAAGTGGCAAGTTTCAAGAATAAAGCAAAGAAGAATTACTGAAAGTAATCTCCAACATAGGGAATAGTTGGCCCACAGAAACAGCACAGACCTTCCAACCATGTCAGCAGATCTCAGCATAATTAAATTCTATGCTAATGAATGGCTAACAGCACATATCAGCAGAAATGGAAATATGTGACTTGCCGTATTCTGTCAGTATGAGTCGTAATCTATAGTAGTTTACTCAACAAACGATCTCACTGAAAAGGGTAAAAATAAAGAATTCATAAACTCTTCCTAATGCTACTGAAATCTGTTATAGCATAAAATGCATTTAACTAGTGAAACTGTCCTTGTGTTTCAGCTGCATCTGATCTTGAGTATGTATCTTGACTTCAGCAAATAATCAGTATCATTAATTGAAGGACAAATCTATTCTATGGTATCTTTCCTGTAGTTCATGCCAGGATTTGGGGATGGGGGGGGAATGTACTGAGTCTGTAATTCAGTCCATCAGAGAATTTTCCGATTAATATCAGTATCTAATCTGAAGTTTATGTACACTCTGAAATTGAGTGTTGAAAAAGGTAAACTCCTCTTTTGGATTTTGTGGGGTTTTCCCCACCTTCTTGCTTCTGGTGACCCCTTTTCCATGACTTGCATTTTTAATTTCTTTCTGAAACTTCACCCCCAAAAAGTTATTGTTTTATGACTTACTTTCTTACTACCCACAAATGAGATTTCAGATCAAGCGAATCTTAGGTGCCAGTTTAAATTGAAGATTTCAGTCAAATCCATGCTGAAAGTCAGACCAAATTCAATTGATCAGTCCGCCCTGGGATTATGAAAAATAATGATTTGATTCCTGGGCTGTGCGGCTTAAAATTCTAATTGTAGAGAGTCTGATTTTCTGATTATAATGTGTCAGTTGCTTATTTACATTTCTTGAGGTTAAAAAACCAAACAAACAAATAAAAAAACAAAACCCCCAAACAACAAAACACACAACTTCTCAAAATCCTCAATTGTGATTGACTATCCAGCAGTTATATTATTTTATATTACAATCTTCATTTCAGGCTTCCTTCTTAAGTGCTATTTAGAGTGATTCATATGAGGCAGTAAACCCTGTAATAATCATGCCTGTGGGACTCCACTGAAAGCAAAGTTTATTCTTACATCCAAAGTCAACACAGCTATAAAGAAAAGAAATAAATGCATAGCAGTTGTTTACATTTGAAGATAGGTTCTGCACTTTCGTTGCTTCACAAAAACTATAGCTCACAAGTGCCATTAAGAGAGTCTAGGGCATATTTTATTTAATTCTTTAAAACTGTTGATGGACATCAGCAAGAATGTAGACTAATTTTAGGAAGCAATACACACCTGGTAATCATGACTGCATATTATTTTTAAGTAGAACCATAAATATTCAAATATATATGTAAAAGAAAATTAATCCAGCTGATGAATCGCCTATGATCAAGATAGGTGAACTTTATTTACCCTGTCACTCTTGAAAACTGACCATAGTACCTATTCACCCTAAAACATTAAACTATTACTGGGAATCGTTAATAAATATGTAGGCATATGGATTGTCAAACTGAATTTTTAGCTGAAATCTGAACCAGACATCAAAGACTTTCTGTGATTTTAATAGATGCAGTAATACTTTACAGTAGGAGAAGTACCAATAACAGTGGCAATGCTGTTATTTTTCTTAATGAGAATATTGGCTGAGGTAGTATCTTAGACTGTCAGATTTAACCAAGTAAAATGACTGCCTAACAATTAAAATAAACAATGAACTGTATGTTCCTATTTTCTTCTGATTGGAACAGGAAGTACCAATGTGTTATGTTTAGATTATTTCTTCATGACTTATGCATGTTGGTCTATTATGCTTTTTTCCATGAATAATAAAATCCACTTTACTATTACAAGAAGCTTTTTCATTTATTTTCTCTAGCCAAAACCAAACATACTGGAAATCATATGAATATGATCACTTTTCACTTGCTTACCTTCAGCATTTTTGTATAAGTGAATGAATATACCTTGTATAAAAAAAAAAAAAATAAATTGTCTTTTCTGAGACTTTCTTGTTGCTGCTGAAAAATACCAACCTATCGTTTGTATAAGTGAATGAATATACCTTGTATAAAAAAAAAAAAAATAAATTGTCTTTTCTGAGACTTTCTTGTTGCTGCTGAAAAATACTTCCCAACCTATCGTACAAATGAAGAGATTCTCCTGTTAATGAATAAGCAGCTCAAATAACCTGTGATTTTTTTTGTTTGTTTTTTAAGTGAAGTTTGGTGTCTTGCAACCTTTTACTCCTAGGCTTCAAATCCAATGCAGAGTGGTTCCCTCAGATAATAGAAAGCTGTGACATTTCTCAAGGAGCTTTTCTAATTTTCTTGACTTTCATATTAGCTGGATCAGCAAGTACTCAATTTATTTTTCATTCTTTGCTCTCTTCTGGACTCTTAGTCACAGGGAGCATCTGCTCTAAACTACTCACTTTGCCATTGCCTGTCTGGGACTGTGGTGGGGGAGATGTAAGGAATGAGAGCACATTTTTTAAATTGTACTTATGCAGGCCCTATTCGCTAGTAATTCTGCTGAGCCCCTCAGATTTTGGGAGATACAAGGAAGAGGGAAGAGATGGTGCCCTTTAATTTCGTTTTGCTGAAGGAACTTTTGACCTATTATTCTTATAGAAGTTTTTCACCCTAGAATCCCATCCTGCTGCCTGTAAGACCTACTCTGAGTGCTTCCTTACCTAAAAAGCAGATCTTCGGTGAGAAGGAACTCCTGAGACCTTATTTCCCAGTGTTAAGTAAAGAAAGATTTCATACCTTCTCCATTGGTCCATCTTCCTTGCTAGGAATGCAGCAGAGGAAAGGGAACACACGTTCTCCAGCAGTCTGTCTTTTTTGCTAAGTATACAGCAGAGGACGCCAACCTGGTACCAACTGCTGTGTCCTGTCATGTGAGCTGAGTTCCCTTTCAGTATTCATGGTTATTCTGAATTCCTGTGAAGGACAGTAGCTTCATAGCTGCTTCACACGTGCTCTGTCTTGGCCATAAGCTGTATGCTGTGGTCACAGTCCTCATCGCAGAATATTATGCTTTAGCATCCCTCATATTATGCTTTAGCACACAAGATGTAAAGTGTATTTAGAATTTCTTAGTAAGCAAATGTGTTTCACATGCACAAAAAGCAACTAAATAGGCCACATGAGGTAAGCATTGAGATTAGAATAGCTGTAGTAGCTGGAGTTACAGTCTTAAACAGAATTGAGACAAGATTTAGAAATATGTCTTAGTTTCTTATACACAGACTTAGGAAAAAGTAAATTGCTGAGATAATGAATATGATTGCAGAGGTTCATTAACTCATACCTAAGGGGAATGTTTGTCTGTTCTGCTCTTAACAGTACTGCCAACTCTGCAGTAAAAGAACTGGGGGGGGGAACAAACCCCAAACTAAAAAAACCAACAACCATGAAGCAGCCATAAAGGTCTTTGCTCACGGTGTTTCTTGTAACACAGTAGAGTTAGGTTTAATAACTGTTTTCTGAGACTTGAGTATTGTTTAAAATTTTGTTAAACTGTTTACCATATTTAATAACCTTGCAAGGGTTTTTTGACTAAACCACCATTCATCCTTTGGAAAGCATCATTAGACAGTGAAATTGGAGAGGAAACTTACTCTCCTTGTCAACCTCCAATTGTGTATGGCAGCGAAAACAGAATGTACTCATAGGTAGGTAGCATTTAAGGGCTAAGAAATCACTGAAATTTTGAACTAAAGTTAGAGTTTCAGCTTAAATACTAGAGCTTAAATACAGAAATTATCTCTAGAGTATGTAATTAGAGCTTAACTATAATCACTGTCTCACTGTAAGTAGTGCTTTGTCGATATCCATTACATGCATTGTTGTTGCAGGTTCTTTTTTTTACATGTAAACCTCTATATACTCCTTCCCCCATCTTTCCAACCTTTTAAGAACTGCCAGATTTACATGTTCCTATTTCAACAAATGTTAATAGTTTATGTATTTGAGATAATGGGTTTATCTTGCATTTTAAGGAAAATTCTTCCAATGATCCTGGTAGTGTTTTTCATTTATTCATGAGCTCATAGAAAAATTGAGATGGGGTGACCTTGAGAGGTCCTCTATTTTACCCCTCCAATGAAAGTAGTGATAGTACACTTGCATCAGTCTTGACAGATGTTTGTTGACTTACCTCCAGCAGTGGACAGTGTACCACCTTCCCATATAATCATTCATAAACTGAATATTTCTGTATACAAAACAAGCCATTTTGTCTGTAATTTCCTCGTTCACAGCAGGCACAAAATACATCACACTTTTTCCCTGTGTCATAGCTCTATACTTTCTATGATTTGAATGCTGTTATGTCAGTCTCCAGTTTTCTTCATAGACTAAGAAACCCCAGATGCTTCCTATCCTTATATGTCATGTTCTGTACCTATTGAACATTTTTATTGCCATCTTTTGCAGTCTCCTCAGCTGATCTGCATCTTTCTCAGAGTTCAAGGTAAACTTTATGAATGCTCAGTGAAGTGGTACGATAGGCTTCTCTATACCTCCCAATATATTTCCCATTTTGCTCATATGTATGTTATTGTTAACTTATATTGTTGACTCTTCATTTTGAAGAACTGCCCACTAATCAATTATCCGTTAAGTCAAAAATTATTGCCAAAAACCAATTTCATTAGTTTTTCTCAGACTGTTCCTCCAATACAGAAAGATGTTTCTGAATTTTTAAATTGCATTTTACTCTCAGGTGAAATGCTGTAAAATCAGAGCACCTGTAGGTCATTATAGGACCCTTAAATTTATGTCCAGTTTCTGGAGATAAGAAATGCTACCTGTTTTTAGAGTCTGAAGCTAGATCATGAATTCCCAGACTAAGTAAATCACCACACACCTTGTCTTTCAGTCTTCCCCTTTTTCTTCTTTCAGGCTAGACAAACCAAATACTGTCAGCTTTTTCCCATTTCTTTCTTTTTCTGGTAGAAATACAGACAGTATTTCCTACCTTGAGTATTAAAAAACTTTGCAAGGAAGCTGCTTGTTTCCTGGCAGACATTATTGCTTCAGTGTTGCTCTTTTCAAAGGAATAATATAACTGCTGATCTGATTATGGGTGCTGTTATGCTAGGTACTATGCAAAAATATAACTGAAAGGATGGTTCTTACTACAGAGAAGTTACAATTTGAGGTTATTGTTTTCTCTTTCTGTTGAGAGGCCAACACTCTTCTGAATCTGCTGCTTCCTCATCATATTCTGTTGTCTTTAAGTTATTTTGTAAAACAAAATACGTCCCATTCTTTTCCCTTTTATCCAACTTGACAATTCTGGTGTGAAAAGGGTTGATGTTGCATTATCTTTACAGGGCAAATTATTAACCTTTTCCTGTGCTGGCCACAAAAGACATTCGTACGCTCCATTAGCTTCCCCTCTTCCTGCTTCTCTGGAAAGTGATGTCTCTTCACATTTGTAAGTAGAAGCATCCAAATGGATTGGAGCACACTGATTTGACAGAACAATTCCTTTTAATCTGCCTATCATTCCCAGAGAAAGTAGGTTTGAAGTCCAGCAAAGGGGGCGTACATTACTATCCCCGGATTCTGTGGTAGCATCTGCCATTATCATGAGGTCCAACCTGAGACGGTTTCAGTAGAGCTTGAAAACTTTCCCTCAAGAAAGGTGACAGGCTTAAAAAAACCAACCAAACAAAAAAAAAACAACAAAAAATCCCGGGTAGATGAAACCGCACACTCTGTGTCAGAGCTCTGGATGCACTGTGAATCCAAAGGTGTTTATAGACCCATTATTTATTTTCTGCAGGCCCATGTTTTATGAACTTGAGTTTTGCATTTTATTTTAGGATATTTCCAAAAAAATACAATTTTTGATATATTTTGGAAGTCTCCTTTATTATTCTTGGATTTTTTTCACCTGCATTTACAAAGCAATTAGTGAATAAAGTTTACATTACCTATCAGAGATACATAAAAGGTAATTTGGATACCAACAGCTGTGATGGTTGTATGGCTGCCTGGACATGCTGTTAGAAGTTCAGCTGGAAACTAGCATAACTCGGTAACCGATAGCATAAAAATCTTTGTGCCCAGGCATGGATTTTCTGCTATTAGCTAGACTAAAACCTGTTTGTATTATAGCCATAGTTCTTGTTCTAGACTGTGTGCAATATGATATTTTGGTCAAGCTCCTACATAACAGCTGAGCTAGAGTGAATTATTAAAGCTTTGAGTCTTCTGCAGGTGCTGTTTGACTTAGTGTAGCTCTCAACAAAAAGGATTAAAGTTAACTTACAGTTGTTTGATTAAGGGTAATACACACAGTATGTAGGTCAGCTGAAGTGTCATGGATATGTCCAGCAGTAAATTGGAGATAGTCCAGCTGGGTAATAGGGGTTCCATGGCCTTCCAAAACATGAAAAAGATGCACAGAAGAGTTGTTGCCTGTTATGTTTTTCTATCCATAGTCATTAGATGCTATGATTACACTAGGATTTCAGGGGACTTCTCCCAAGGAGTATTTTATGTGGTGTCATTTCTTGGGGAGGGGAAAGGAAAAGTTCATTTCTTTAAGAAGCTGTTGATACTTATTCAAAATAATACTTACGCTCTTTCCAAGGTAATCCTTTATGACATACAGAAGAAAATTTTCCTGCTTCAATCTATCACCTAACTATAATTCACAGTCACCAGAGTGTAGTGGTGATCTACAGTTCCCTTTATCATTCACCTTTCTCAGCCTTCTGTGCTTGCAAAACTTACATTTTGAACCACCGTGTTAATGTCACAGCTACACTGGCTGAGATTTACCTGTCTTTTCCTGTGCATTGAAAGCCATCAAGACTTAGCTGATTTTTTTTTTTTTTTTAATAGAAAGGGAGCCCTAGATGTCTTCTAGCATCATGGATAGCTTGAAAACACAAGTGTCTTTGTCCAGCAGAAAACAGCACCGTGCAAATACATGAGCTTGAGGTTGGAGGCTGCAGCTGCGTTAACTTGTGTCGGTGCAAGTGCTGCCTGAACATAGGTTTAAAGTATTTGGTCCTAAATTAGCCTGTACAGCAACAGGTGGGAGCAAGCAACAATAGCAGTAAGAAATACTGTGAGCACAAGTATGATTTATATTTACAGAATCTTTAGGGTTTTTTTTAAAGGAGAAACAATCTATTGCCTGTAAGCAGTCCTTGATACCTAGGATGCTCTCAGAAAAGTTAGCTATCTTGGTTTAACAGGTCATTCACAGGTGTCCTTGTTTGAGGCAAAATATACATATATATAACTTGTTAGAGTTAGCAAAATAGAATAGTCTTATCAGTTTTAAACAGGTGGAGGGTTGGAAGAAAAAGGATCTTGGCTCAACATGCCTGTTTCTTACAGTTGAGACTGGAAGTTCACTTACATCTATGTGATTGTTCAACTGACACAGAAAACATTTCTCATAATACATAAAAGGGAAATCTGACCACATCCTCAAATGTTCTTTAAACGTGCTCATAAAGATGCACAAAGGCTATGCAAACCTTTGTTTTATCTTTTTAGATCTCTTCTAATAGTAGGGAGATCCAGCCCTTCTAAAATCCATATGTCTCAAGTCTCACATGGGAGTTGGATCTCCTGAGACCTCTACCCCAAAGAGCTTTTATTATAGATTCAAACTGTTTATATATTCATTCTGTCCATGTTGTTGAAATTAACCTGTTGAACTAACAAAAGAGCAAACAAAATATGTAGCTCCCACAGGACTCCTCTTCATTCCTAAAAGAGAAGCCAAAATTTTAGGATGTATCCAAGTAAGAGAATGATCTTTCTGACCTGCCTCTGTTTGCTTAAAACCCATATTTTAGTATTTATGCTACAAAATTTCTGAATTTATTAGTCTCATGCACCACTCCCACCACAGTGAAAGTATTTTTGATAATCTGTGTTATCTTCTGGAATCTGTGTCATGCTGGAAATGGTGAATCGTGTTAGTTTTATGTATATATGCATATATACATAAATGATAATAAATACATTGATAAATACATTGTGGTAAATGTGATTCTTCAGTGTCTTGTCACCATTAATACACTTTTAATAGTGTGTCCAGCGGATAACAGTGATGCATAATGAGGCTGGTACATTATAATAATCTGGTGACCTATATAATATTTTGCTTTACTTTTTGCTTGCTTTTGCACCCATATGGAATGGTAAGGAGTCATTTCTGTGAAGATCTACATGAAGATTCTTTTTTCAAGTGATTTTACTTAGTAAATAAAATTAAATTTGGTTGACATAAGTATGTTCTGTGACACCATGTACGAAATTTGGTTTTCTGCCTATTCAAATTGTAAAAATTGGATACCTCATTAGTTCTAAAAAGTACAACAAAGAGGATCTTTACAGTCAATTACAATTTCTTTGTTCAGACACTTTGTAGAAACAGAACTTTATTTTAGGCTTAAATTTGCTTGTTTACTTTTTAAACTTAAATGGAAAAGATACTTCTGATTTCCTGAGGTTCTATATACATCCTCTCTCCCTCTCTTTGTAACATGCACACATTTCGAGGTAAGTGTCAGCAGCATCGATTTTTCCCTCTAGGAGCACATCACTGTCTTCTTAATGATTGCCTGTCTGGCAGCAGATGAGAGTATTTTCCTTCTGCACTTAAAAAAAAAGTCTTATCCAAAGCCCACTGAAAGTGGTGAGAGTCTTTTAAAATACTGCGTCTTTGGATCCAAACCAAAGACACAGATTTGCCTCCCAGGTTGCAACCCATCAATGCAACCTCAGCCTTAATGCTTTGAAGCACATATGAGATAGTGAAGAGATTTTTTTGTTGCACAAGCAAGAGATTTCTGAAAATAACTCTGAAATGCATCCCCCCCTACCCCTACAAGATTGGTAAGGTGATTTTGACTTTTTTTTTATATTGTGAGCATGCAGTATTGTGCCTATATGTTTTTACATTGTTTACTTCCTGACAATATTTCTACTACATTGTAATTGAAATAATGAAGTGTATCTATTATTGTATAGCTGTACAAATAGAATACCTATGTTTCATTTATAGATATTTGTCAGGAGCTAATATGGCACGTAGATTAATGAGTAAAACCAAAATCTTTTAAATGTCTTGAATATCATGCATTTTATTGTCTTTTCTTCTCAGGGACCATATCTGTGAACACATTACGTACACCATATACTGCACCAGGGGAAAGTGAAATCCTTGACTTGGATGATGACTTGTATCTTGGAGGCTTACCAGAAAATAAAGCAGGCCTCGTCTTCCCAACAGAGGTGTGGACAGCACTTCTCAATTATGGATACGTCGGCTGCATTAGAGATTTATTCATTGATGGTCAAAGCAAAGATATTCGACAGATGGCGGAAGTTCAAAGCACAGCTGGAGTAAAACCCTCATGCTCAAGAGAAACTGCAAAACCTTGCCTTAGCAACCCCTGTAAAAACAATGGTGTATGCAGGGATGGGTGGAACAGATATGTTTGTGATTGCTCTGGTACAGGGTACCTTGGCAGATCATGCAAAAGAGGTAGGTTCCATGAGATGGCTGTATTTCTACTTTCTAGAATCCTGCACAATGATTAAAAATGGTAAAATACCGTTATCTCTTCTGAGGCAGAAAAAGCATCTTTGATTTCACTTGATGTGAGATGAAGACCTGTTCTAGACTGAAAGAAGTAACTCTAGAGGAAAGATCTTGGCGGAGTTTCTAAGATGCATGAAGAATTATTAGTTGACTATGAGAGAGAGACAGTACTGCTAAATGTCTCTTAGAAAATGTCTCCTTCTGTGTCTCATCATACATTGCTGAGTTCTGAAAAGCTTTGTGAAAGTAATTTCAATTATTACTGCATTACTAAATGGTCACATTCCAATTCCAAACTGAGGTCTTGTTGTCTGCCTATTTATGTCAATACCACTGTGTAATTAAATTTACTTTTGAATTCCACAGTATCACTTAAATCCATGGCCAGAACTTCAGCCATGAGTCAAAGCAAAAGAATCAGTGTAGGACTCTATATTTCTTACTTAACTTTTTTTTTAAAGATCATAGTACCCAAGGTAACAGTTTCTACTTATCTTAAATCACTGAGTATCCCTCTTGCCTAGAAAAGGTAAGTGTAAAGTTGACAAACCCCATTTATTTAATTGAAAAGGTGGATAGTGGCAAGGAAGATAGATGTTGAAGTTCGTTATAGGAAGAAAACTCTGTAATTTATTTAAAATAACAGAGTATGTTTATAAAAGATTTTAATGTAAGTAGGAAAACAATAAAAAAAACCTTAGTTAATATTTTAGGTATTTATTTTTATTCTCATTGGAATAGGAAATGTTTCAATGACAGAAGTTATATTTTTTTCACCTCACAATTGACACAGTACAGTTTCTTCTCAAGCCGAAATCTAAACCTAAAGTTTATTGGCTGGCGTAAGTTCTTAACAGTTTCTACTTATCTTAAATCACTGAGTATCCCTCTTGCCTAGAAAAGGTAAGTGTAAAGTTGACAAACCCCATTTATTTAATTGAAAAGGTGGATAGTGGCAAGGAAGATAGATGTTGAAGTTCGTTATAGGAAGAAAACTCTGTAATTTATTTAAAATAACAGAGTATGCTAATAAAAGATTTTAATGTAAGTAGGAAAACAATAAAAAAAACCTTAGTTAATATTTTAGGTATTTATTTTTATTCTCATTGGAATAGGAAATGTTTCAATGACAGAAGTTATATTTTTTTCACCTCACAATTGACACAGTACAGTTTCTTCTCAAGCCGAAATCTAAACCTAAAGTTTATTGGCTGGGAACGTAAGTTCTTTCCATCTAGTTTGACTCATTTTTCTAGTTAGTAAGGTGAAACAAAAATGTATTCTTTAAAAATAAAACCCAGATTAATGTTTAAGTTGTATGTAAATAGACATGTGCATTTATGTAGAATACCATGATATTATTAGTATTTGCAAGTAGATTCTCAGTTTCTTCTGTTCTTTCTGTCTTATTTTTTGAGTATATATGCCTTTGGTTCATGGCCAGTTATTATGAGATCTCCAGATTGTTCTGTTACTGGTGGAGTGAAGCTGGCAGAGGGCATAACCGAGCTGTCTGATGCATTACAAAAGCCTTCAGTTAAACATGTCTGGTGTACCACCCTGTGGCAAAATTCTGCTATTACATATGGCAGAAGTAAAAACAGGATTTGCATTTTTTCGACTTGAGAGCTAGGAAATGTGCGTTAGAGACAAAAACACATGCATATCTGCAAAGAACTTAAAAGCAGGCTTCATCATAGCAATTTCTTATAAATATATTTGACAGGTGGTAATATTTTATATAGAAACCTCTGTCTTTTCTATTTCCTATACTTTATTTTCAACTGTCTCCCAATATAGAGCTTGATTTTCCCAGTGCATTCCCCTAATGGGAATGGTGGTACTATGGTGGTGGTGTTGGCTTCTCTACAACGGTATTTGGTTCTTGTCCAACAGAAGTATGTGCAGCAGTTCAGACAGTATGGGATCATTTCCTGCTCTTGGGTTTCCCTCTCCAGAGGAAACTACACTGAAAGGAGATCTCCTTCCAGTACTATTCATATCCCAATTGGTCATGCATTAATAAGATTATAGCTTTTGGGATTCTGAAAGCGACACGTTGGCATCCTACCACACGGAGTTATTATAACTACTACCCGTGTGCAGTAACTGATAAACTTTTGTATTTGGTGATATAAGCAACACAATTATAATTGTTCAAACTAATTTAAATAAAATAGGAACATGTTCATTTCAACAAACAATACAGTTTCACAAAGAAAAGAAAGCATTAGAATAAAATATTGGAGATTAAACAACTGCAATATTTAACTTAAGTGATTAAGATATCTTCAGTAAACAAAAACATGTAGCTACTTTTTAGTACTGTCATTTATTTTTCATGCTATTTCCCCTAAAATAAGAGTACTAACATCCATATGTGGATGTGTCGTGTACAGTGCAGTATTTGAAATAATTTTGGTCAGTTTATCAGTGCACAAAAATGATGGAACACAACTCAGTTCTATTTTAGTTTCAGTATACTTAAAATTAATATTTTTTTTATATCCATGTGCTTTTTATGCTGTTGCAAGTTATTAATGATTTTATTCTTGATTTTCAGTAAGGTTAAACATCAGTATAATCTGTAGATTGGCTTTAGTAGATTATGGAAACTACAGCAGATGGATGGACAGATGTCACAGCAATATAATTTGGCTTCCTATCTTACTTTGATTGTGGATCACAATATGTGACTGCCTCTCGGCAAAGTCTTTTGCAGGTGTATACTTTTGACTGGATGGCTAGGAACAATGCACAAGAGTAAATTCATCAAACAGTGATAAGAAAAAGTAGGCATGCAAAGAAAGATTTATCAGTGACATTTCTGAGGAGAAAATATATTTAAATTAGAGTGTGTGTGTGTAGATGTCCACACGGTGCATGCACACACACCTGCATGCACACATATGCATTAAATAAAGAAATATTGGATGCTTTAAAATTTAAAAAAAAAGAAAAATACAGGTGATGTGATACGATGATAGGTGGTATGAAGAATCATGCATTCAAAATACTATAGTAATTCCATTTCTGACTTTAACACACAGGATCAATTATTTAATTTAAGTTCTAGCACCTTTACAGCGTGACTTCGGACCTCAGTCCTGAAATAATACCAGTGTAGAAATTGGGAGGAATCATTTACATTTCTATTCACATATTATCTAGTAACTAATTGCATATCAAGAATTATTTCCATCAGATTGATGGAAAGGTTCCTCGATTCACCAAGGCTGCAACTTTGGGCTCAGATGGACTGAAGTAGCTGCCATAGAAAACACGCAAACAGTGCTTAGCTGAGCATGCGCCTGTGAATAGAACAAAACCTAAAAGTTTGAATTTGAATCAGTAGCCATCAATATACTTGAATTTATAGGAGTAAAATCATATGTATCAGAGAGTGTTTTCAGGGCAGGATATTGTTGCTCTACTTATACTGGTAAATAAAACAGGGTCAGACAGCAAACCTGAATACTTTATTATTGATGATCCAGATTGTTCACATACTTCCTGGCATGGCTCTGGACTGTATCGTCTGTCACTTTCAGGGCAAAGTTTGCGTGTGATTTCATGCTTTTAAAATGGCTCTGTGGGTTGCAACACAGTCCTCATATTATCGCAGACACTTTGAAACTGAAAAAGCAGGAAAAAATAATAATTCTGTCTTTAGGACTTTAGAGGCACCACAAGGGGTCCAGAGGAAACAAGATTCTGTTTTATTTATTAAAATTCATGCAGTAAGCATCCGTGCTTACCAAGCACTGTGTTATTAAAAACAGCACAAACTTGACTGCAAAACTTATGAGGAAGAATGCTGAAATTCAAATGACTAGTCCATACTTCTTTCACTTTAAATAAGATGTGAATTGAAGAATAGCATCTATTTGGAAAATTATGTTTCTCCCTATAAATATGTGGCTGAGTATTTCTGAGGGTATGTCGTGGTTTAATCTCAGTCGGCAACTAAGCACCACACAGCCGCTTGCTCACTCCCCCCCACTGGGATGGGGGAGAGAATCGGAAGGGTAAAAGTGAGAAAACTCGTGGGTTGAGATAAAGACAGTTTAATAGGGAAAGCAAAAGCCGCGCACACAAGCAAAGCAAAACAAGG